TCACACCGGCATCCAGGCGTTATTGTTTTATTAAGTTTTCCAATAAACGTTGAACGCAACGGCATAGCACAGTTTATATACCTTTACTACGTAAATACTTGTCGAAAAATCATGTTTGAACACGCAGCGATTGCAGCCTGACTCAAAGTGTCCCGCAGCATATATTACGTATATTTCGATTAATGCGCTCACTGAACCAAAACAAATAAATACTCATGTACAAGCTTATAATAAGTAGACTCACTGAGCATTAAAGTTAATGTGGTTCATAGAACGCTTTGTAGGGAAGACATGATTCAAATATCGAAAAACAACCAAAATGCACAAAAAACGCCAAATACTCTATTTTTTGGCAATAATTACTGGAGCATATTACATTATTTATACCGTAAATATTATATAAGGAAAAAATACACGTCTTGAAGTTCACAAATAAATTCAATAACAGTCTGGAATCGAAGTTTTTGTTTTCGAGTGTGTTATGGGCGAAAAATGGCCCTTATCAACCCACCTCCTTTGGCAGAGTTGATGGCCATGATAATTGATGATGAGTTTCCAGAGTTTTTTAATTTTTAGGGATACATTGGTACATGCCTAATTTCAACACATTCTCAAAAACTCACGTAAAAAGGGTTTTACGAAAAAACGAATTTTTGGCACCTTGGAATTTGTGAACGAAGCACTACCGTATCTATGTTTATATGGACTTCTTTCCTTGGAATCACCCAAGGAATCACCTTTTGTAGTTTGGCTCGATACTTCATTAACACTCTATGCGATGAAATGCAAGAGCTTAAAAATTAAATTTTTTCAAACTAGGTAGCTTTCAATTTTATACCAAGTGCGTTGACGACACTTAGCCGCGCACTGTTTATGTGTACGAAATTATTACCGTAGACAGCTGTTATAATGCATAGCACGGAATGGGGTGCTTGACTGCTCCGACCGCAGTCACTCAAATCATAGTTGTCGACAGGGCAAACTCTCGAAAAAAAATATTTGCTATTGCTTCAAGTTATCGCTTGTATTTTCCTCTGCATCTGCATTCTGTGGAGTTGGTTTTCAACTGATACTATACTGTATTACACAAATCATTCCGAAAAGCAACCTTTTGAATCCATAGCTGTATCTTGCTTATACAACTTTTCGTTTACGAAAACAAACGGTAAGATTATACAGGGTGGTGCGTAATGGATGTGCCAAAAGTCCTGAACCCCTCTATCTCCAGTTTTTATCGTTGTCTGTATATCATTAAAGAATTGCAATGCTGCTAAGGAATATCTGACTCAATATCATTATTTTCGTGAGTTTCACAATCCGTTTTCAAGCGATAATTATATAATCGATAACTTGATAGCAATTAAGCGCAAACAATCCAAATAATCCAACTGGGCATGTCTCCCATCCGATACTATGCACCGTAATTATTCTTATCTACCGATATACAGTAATGGACAAAAGTATATAGACAAATATGAATATTTACCTAAATGCCTTTAGAAAACGAATTCATACTTCATTGCTTCATAAACAAATGCGTTATTAATAGAAAAACTAAATTCCTTGTTTTTACATTATCTGCAATGAACACAATACAAGTCTGAGTATAAGCACTTTCTTATGAGGGACAAAAATATGTAGACGAATTCTTTTCAACGTTAGTTTAGTACAGTTTCGTGTCAGTAGAGGGTTAGTTTGTGTTCATTAAGTATTGTGGAATAAGTTGAGTGATTTTAAGACCGTGCCGCGTGGTCCAGAGATTTCGTTCGATGTGAAAACTAAGATCATTGAGTTATACAAAGATGGTGAACGTCAAGTCGACATTGCCAAAAATTTGAAGCTGAAGCGTAAAGCAATTTGGGCAATATCGAACAAATATAAACAAAAAGGCATCTTTGAAGCCTCTAAGAGAAGTGATCGGCCTAGAAAGCTAAATGCTAGATCAGTTAGATTAATAAAAGTAATCCGTTTAAAACCACAAGATAAATAAAAGCCGAAATCGAGACAAAAGGAATTGTCAGTGTTTCTACGAAAACTATGAGCAGAAGATTAAATGATTTGAAGTTATTCGCATGTCGCTCGAATAAGAAGCCGCTAATCTCGAGAAAAAACCGTAAGGACCGATTACAATTTGCACGGTTGGATCTTGATTGGAGCATCTGTGTCTGGAAGAGGGTACGTTTCAGTGACGAATCCAAGCTCAATATGTTTGGATCAGATGGTGTTCATTACGTTAGATGTCCTGGTGGACAAAGATTGAACCCCAAGTACACTTTGCCCACTGTCAAACATGGAGGCGGGCCAGTTATGGTTTGGGGGTGCTTTTCGGGGTTTGCGATGGGACCTTTACATAGAATAGATGGCATTATGGATAAGTTTGTATACACAGACATACTAAAGCATCTCATGTTACCCTATATGGAAGACAATATGCCCTTAAGATCAATCTTCCAGCCAGATAATGACCCGAAGCACACTTCAAACCTCTCAAAGAAATTCTTTCTGGATGAAAAAATACCAGTTCTCAAATGACCTGCACAGTCTCCCGATATAAACCCCATTGAAAATCTATGGGAATACTTAGATAAGCAAATACGAGATAAAAATTATTGAAACAAGGATGAAATTTGTGCCGCTTGAGACCAAAAGTGGAGACAGATTGATGAATCTTAATCAAGAAACTTCTACAATCTATGCCGAGCCGATGCCAAGCGGTGATTGATAATAATGGTTATGCTACAAAATGTTAACACAAACATGGTTGGTTTTCTATAATTCAATGAACTTTGCTTCTTTTTTCTATAATTGTTTTGCTTTGTCTATATAATATACTAAGTGACATACAAATCCGAACACCCAGTTTAAATGGTTTTATTTTAATAAAAGTTGTTGAATGTATTTTTCTTACTGTAAATAACAAGTGAAAAAATTTTCAGCCTTATCAGTTGGACATTCCGGTTTTTATACTGCTTTTTTTTAATTCACTAACGCTCTAAAAATGAATATTTCAGCCGCAGTAAAGAATCAACGTTGGCGGATTTTGGTTCTTGACATCCTTTACGATCGGTTACGATGCCTAGAGTACGGAGACCTGTACGATTTCGTCAACTTAGTGAGTTTGATAGGGGCCGTATAGTGCGACTTCGGGAAGCTGGACTTTCTTTTCGGGCAATTGCAGTTAGAGTGCAAAGAAGTGTAGACACTGTGGTTAGGTGTTGTCAGGCATGGCTTCGAGAATGCCGTACGCAAAGAGCAAGGGGCAATGGACGCCGCCGTAGAACAACAGACCGTGAAGATCGCCGCCTAAGATTATTTTCCTTAAGGGACCGTTTCTCGACTACCAGGCCCATTGGAAATGAGTGGTTTGCAGAACACGGAAGACCTATTGGCATGCGAAGTGTTTACCGACGAATGAGAAGTTTTGGCTTGTTTTCATACCGGCCATACTGGGTCCTCCCTTTAACTCGAGAACACCGACGTAATCGCCTTGAGTGGTGCAGACAACGGTCACTCTGGGATCAGGAATGGAACAGTATTGTCTTTAGTGACGAGTCTCGATTTTGTTTAGGCATGCACGATGGTCGTGCCAGGGTTAGAAGGCGACGTGGTGAAAGGAGGAATCCACAGTTTTTTGTTGAAAGACATGTTCATCACACTGTTGGAGTTATGGTTTGGGGTGCTATAGCTTATGGTTCCAGGTCACCTATAATCTTCATCAGAGGTAACAAGAACGCGCAGCATTATATCCACGACGTTCTAGAACCCCATCTTTTACCCTATCTTGACACCCTGGCAGATCCAACTTTCCAACAAGATAATGCCTGACCACATGTTGCAAGAGTCACAATAGACTTCTTTCAACATAATGATGTCACATTGTTACCATGGCCACCAAGATCTCCCGACTTATCCCCAATTGAGCACGTGTGGGATATGATGGGTAGGAGATTGCTCAATTTGCAACGTCCTCCTCAGACTCTAGAATCACTTCGAGAGGAGTTGGTGGTTGCCTGGAATGAGATACCACAGGAGGACATTGACCACTTGATTAGAAGCATGGCTAGGCGCGTTGGAGAATGCGTAGCACATCAGGGTACATCCACACATCATTAAAGGTCAAAGGGCTTTAAAGCAGTGCAGTCATTTTGAAATTTTTATCATTTACTTATTATGCTTCATTAAGTACTTATACAAAATTTTATTAAAACAAAACCATTTAAACTGGGTGTTCGGATTTATATGTCACTTAGTATATGTTTGTCCATAGTTCCAGTTTTTTCAATTAATTTTTTAATCTAATGTCTAATGAATTTATTTATGTATAAGTGAGTATTATGCTATAACGAATTATGTATAAAAATTGGTGTATTAATATAACAAGTTAAAAAAGAAATACAAAATAATATTAATTTGTCTATATACTTTTGTCCATTACTGTATGTTCATCCTCGGAAGAATTCGTCACTTCTCAGCTGAAAATATGATGAATGTGCAAATGTGCATATTATATAGATATCCATATTTCCTGTATTCTAAAAATAATAATATAAGTCATATAAGAAACTTCATGGCCTTATCAAAAATTCGGTACAGTACCATGTTACATTTTACATACCTGTATTTCACATTTCACTAAGCACTTATTTCGGAAATATGGTGGAAGTACTCATAAGATAATGTTGTCGCATTCACCATATTTGTAACTTTCTAAATATAACCCGTATGAGCCGCATTCAAACTGTTTTCTGTCCTACATAGAATAAATTGAAATCAATATAACGGCATTGGCATATATTTCCGAGTTCTTTAGCTAAACGTAAGATCAGTATACTTTTCGGCACTCTCGTACGTAGGCTTAAATCTCAACAGTCCTTTCGCTTATGTCGACAAACCAATCAACAAATGTCATTACACAACGTGTTGCGAGCTTTGGAACGCTGCCTCCGCATTACATTCTACGAACTACACCGCTACCATTCTCGATTTCCTTTATTTTACAGACGACGACGTTGATTGGCCTGTTGAAGACTGCGCGTCTGCTACGATTGGTCCGAGTAGCGAGGAAGATCGACAGGTATTCCGAATATGGAGCAGCTGTTCTGTTGCTGTTGATGGCCACGTTTGCGCTTATCGCACACTGGATGGCTTGTATATGGTAAGGGGGATTCTCGAGGGAGCTGTTGATTTTTTAGCGTGGCATCAGCTCTCATAGTCTCACATAGAGATGGGGATGTCAGAGGAGATTCCGCATGAGTCCGATAAGGGTACTTTCCGTCATCTTATTTTCTCCAAGGATTCTTGGAGATTCTGCAAAACAACTTTTGGCTAGTCTGAAATCAGTGTATCAGTGTATACAGTGTGAGTCTTCATAAAGTGCACATATCAAAATCAGGGAAACTACACTCTATTTCATCGACGGATAAATCATCAAAAAAACATTAGTTTGATTTTTTATGAATATATGAATATTTTAAAATTTTTAGTAGCAGCTTCTAACCATATTGAAATAACTCGTTACAACTTTTAAACTAAATGTCATATCATATTGGAATACATTTTGTAGTGATTGCTGGTAAACGAACGTGCCTGAAAAGTGAAGAATTCCAGGAAAAGTAATGACATCCATTTAGAATAAAGAAAATTTTGATGAAAATCTGTTGTTTTTTTTCATCATTTTTACAATAATTTCAAATTTTCTACAAATATCGTCCCTTGTACCATACCTTTTTTTATTTGTAAGTTATTCTACATGTTATCAGCTTTATAAAAGTAAAAATTGCACGTTTATTACTCAAATGTAACAGTTTCTATGAGTGTTTATAAAAAAGCCCATGCGCATCGTCTTGCTAGGCACCATTGTTTATCATGTAGATACCTTTTTTTGGTGATTCGATGTAGAGTCGCGCGGGCTGAAGTAAGAGTGGGGAGGCGGGCCCAGTTGAAAAACAATTGAATGTTGGGCAGTTAGGCAGCTATTTGTGTTTCTCTTGTCAACTTTATCAGTTTCATTTGCTACATATCACGCTTTCGCTTTTTGGTCGCGATGCCACGTAAAATTGATTTCCCTCCGGCACACATTGCCGATATCCATTATTATTACGGAATGTGCCGAGGGAGTGCTAGAGCTGCTTGCACAGCTTATCTAGCTGCATTTCCAAATCGACGCCCTGTTCCATCAGCCCGTAACTTCCAAGAAGTACATAGAAGACTGGCTAACACTGGACTTGGTTTGCCTCGAGATCGCCGCGAACCAGGTGTTATTATTCATGTTGCTATCGAAAAAGCCATTTTGGATTATTTGTTTGCTGACCCGACTACTAGTACGAGACGTTTGGCGTTACGTCATGGAGTATCCCAGAAATCGGTTTGGCGCATCTTGAGGAAAGCAGGGTTGCATCCATACCATTATCAAAGGGTGCAGCACTTGCATGAAGATGTGGATTAGCGTCCAAGGTGCGTTATGTCTACATGGATTTTAATAAAAACAAGAGACAATCCTGAATTCCCGAAAACAATTCTGTGGACAGATGAATCTCAATTCACGAGAGACGGCATCGTGAACTGTCGTAATTTACATAAGTGGTGCCCAAAAGATGAAAACCCTAGGCTGAAAAGGGCTTCATTTCAAGTGAAATTTTCTGTAAATGTGTGGGCCGCACTGATTGACATCCTTTTGATTGGTCCAATAATACTCCCGAGGACATTAAACGGAGAGAGATTTCTGGAGCTTTTGCGGAATGAACTGCCCTTGCTGTTGGAAGAAGTGCCGCTGCAAACCCGTCGAAGAATGATGCTTCAAATGGATGGATGTCCTGCCCATTACTCGCTGATTGTCAGGTCTTTTCTTAATGAAAATTATCCAGACCGCTGGATCGGTCGACAAGGACCTGTTGGGTAGCCGGCGCGTTCCCCAGATCTCACACCTCTCGACTATTTTTTATGGGGGACAAAGGGTGTACAGCAGTTCCATAAACAGCGAAGCGGAACTTGAAGAAAGAGTTTTGCGTGTTGCAAACGAAATCAAAAATGATCCCGAGATGATTCGTAGGGCAACTCATCAAATTTCACTTCGCGCTATAATGTGTTTGCAGCAACGGGGTGGCCATTTTGAAGATTTGATGCATTAAGCCAAAATGATTATCCTATAGACAAGTCTATTTGATTTTATTTGTTAAAGATAATGAATGATTCATGTAGGTTAATACTGTTGTTTTATTCCTACTCTGGCGTTGAACTGAGTTCACTGCTTTTTGAAACGCTGATTTAAAAACTTGTATCTAAGTAATAAACTTGCAATTTTTCACCATTAGGAAGCTAATAACATGTAGAATAACTTAACATTTGAAAAAGGTAGGGTAAATAGAACAATTTTTATTGAAATTTAGCAATTGTTTTAAAAATCATTGAAAAAATATTGAGTTTCAGCATATTCCTCTTTATTTTAAATTTATAGCATTTAATTTCGTGGAAATTTTCACTTTACTGGTACGGCCTATTATTTGCAATCACTACAAAATGTATTCCAATATGATAGGACATTCAGTTTAAAAGTTGTAACGATTTATTTAAATAGGGTTAGCAGCTGACTCTAAAAATTTTAAAATATTCATAAAAAATCAATTATTGTTTTTAATTTTTTTTTGATAATTTTTCCGTCAATAAAATAAGGTGTAGTTTCCTTGATTTTGCTATGTGCATTTTATGAAGACTCACACTGTATATAGATCTCAATAATATGTAATGGCTTTTTCAATAAGGATGGGTCGAAAGTGGAACAAACGTGCATGTGGGATATTAATGAAATTGTTATTTTTTTAAATGGAAGACCCATGTATCTATCAATAGTCTAATAATATTAGACGAAAGTAGCCTTGGTTTGCGAAATAATTGTAAAGTCTGGTTTTTTTGCTGCAATTTTTTCAAGGGGGTATTCAAAACATGGACGCATAAAGTGGGTACACCAATTTTTGTGGAATAACTTTTTATTCGATAACAACGACTGAGAAAACGTGTTTTCTAGGATTCAATCGAAAAAGTGTTGCCAGTCGGATCTTTTAACGTGTGGTTTTTTTCGGTTCTGTCAACATTTTCGATTGAATCCCAAAAAAATACGTTTTCTCATTCTTTGTCACCAAATGAAAAGTTTTTCCACAAAAAATGGTGTACCCATTTTATGCGTCCATGTTTTAAAAATCTCCTTGAACAACGTGCTCCAATAAAACCTGACTTTACAATTATTCCGGGCAAATCTGCTAATATGATTAGACTATAAGATAAAATAGCAACTAGATTATCAAAACTCCCCATATCGACAAGCGTCACACAATTCCGACGCATCCGTCAACGCCAGGTAGACAGAACCGTATTTTGTTGTTTTATTTTTCTTGGCGCGACGCCTTGCTCTGCGTTAAAAAAGTACTGAATGAAAGTGTCCTCCTTCGCCTTACTTCATTCACTAAACGTTACCTACTCCCAATAATCTTATACAATTCTCTGGTTCGTTTTGAAAAAGACGAGGCATTTCTGAGAAAATAAAATTATACACTAAAATAAATAACAAATTCAAATCCTACGATCTGGGTGGCCAGGACAGTTAGTGGTTTTAATCGAGCTATTAACATTTTTAAAATAAATTTTAAATTCTAACAAAAATTTACATATAAAAAAAATTTCAGTGATTTTGGTCAAATTTTCCGGGGATGCGTCTCCCATATTTTATCAAATCTCTACAAAATTAACGTCATTACGATTTTTTCATATAGATCACTTTTCAGAAAACGTTTGACCTCCTGTTAACATAAACAGTTTTCTTGGAATTACCCAAGAAATCAGCTCTTGAGATTTGGCCAAGTATTTACTTTGTTAACATCCTGTATACAGGGCAATCTCAATTTTTTTGAGATACACAATTAGGTTGAAACACTGAATAATAAGAATTGCGCTAAGGCGATACAAATAAGTTCTTTTACAAGTCAGGTGCCGATTATCAGGCAAAATGAGATATTAGTAGCACAACGCACAAACTATTTTCCTTTTCATCGCTCTTGGAGCTTTACAGGGTGTCCAATAAGAACCACGAAAAACTTAAGGAGAAAGTAGGCTTTGGAATAAATACGCGAAGTTAACAAAGCAACAATTGGGTAACATCGCCCTTATTTCTTATTACGGCTGAAATTCTTTGGGGCATAGTGTTAACCAAGTTTTGACAGAAATTTGATGTAAAACAATCTCATATTTCTTGAATCTTTTGTCTCAGTTCGGTGATTGTACGAGCAGGATGTTGTCGTAGAACGCATTTCATCTCGTGCCACAAAGTTTCAATAGGTGACAGATCTGGACTACTAGAAACCCATTTCAAAAGTGGTACATTATTTTCTTCCATTCATTTTATGGCCTTTTTGAGGTATGGCACGCTGCACCATCTTGCTGAAACACAAAATCTTGACCGGATGTCAAACATTCTTCCATCACTGGTGAAAGCGATTCTTCTAAAATTGCCAAATATTTGTTTGTATCCACATTTCCATCAATAAAATGAAGTTTTTCCACTCGTTTTGCGAATAACTCTACTGCGACTGTCATTTGCAATGGAGTTAATAGTGGCTTTTCTTTGGCCTATAAACAAGTTGTGCAACGTTTTTACTTCACTTTTTTTATAAGAAAACTTACCTTGCAAGTGCTAAATCTCAGCTTTTGGGCCTCTCTATGCGTTTTGGACCTCGAAATTCTCCTTCCAACAGCGTCACTCTACAGAGCACTTAATTGTAAATAATTGGCACGCCTGTTTTTCACGATTATTCTTCTTAATGCTCTTCGGTCGGCATTTGTGATATTACTTTCTTTCACATATCGTGGCTTAATATTAACTGAACCAGTTACGTTATATCTTCTAACAATATTTCTCACACTGTACCGCGATAAGTCTAACAAAGTTGCAATTTCTGAGTTTGATTTCCCAGAATTAAAAAATTTAATTATCAGTAACCGAATTTTCTCACTAATAATCTGTCCTCTACCCATTTTGAAAACCTTAGCTACCCAAAACTATTTTAAACGTATTCTGACAGCTGTGATTAATAAAAACAATTGTCATGGCTTTTATTTGTCATAGCCACCTATGCATTATAGGCTTATTCTGCATTGAAATGAAAATAAGTTGATATGCTGTAATTGCAACATGTGTTATTTTTGTGCTGCAAATTTGATTAGGGAGTGATAAAGTTGGTGTTTTCTACTATATAGCACTGAAATGAAAATAAGTTGATATGCTGTAATTGCAACATGTGTTATTTTTATGCTGCAAATTTGATTAGGGAGTGATAAAGTTGTTGTTTTCTACTATATATTATCAAAATATTCATTGTTAATATTTTAAACCTATAACACGCTGCTACATTTTTATTATTTGTGTTTGATAAGAAAAAACTAAGATTTCAATAGTTGGGCCAACTGAAGTGGGAAGGGACTCGTATATTACAGGTCAATCAAATCCGATCTTTAATTTTTGTCGTTGCAATACAAATTTCTATCTAACAACGTAACAGCCACAGTTAACTATACTAAGTGACATATAAATCCGAACACCCAGTTTAAATGGTTTTATTTTAATAAAAGTTGGTGAATGTATTTATCTTACTGTAAATAACAAGTGAAAAAATTGTTAGCCTTATCAGTTGGACATTCAGGTTTTTATACTGCTTTTTTTTAATTCACTAACGCTCTAAAAATGAATATTTCAGCCGCAGTAAAGAATCAACGTTGGCGTATTTTGGTTCTTGACATCCTTTACGATCGGTTACGATGCCTAGAGTACGGAGACCTGTACGATTTCGTCAACTTAGTGAGTTTGATAGGGGCCGTATAGTGGGACTTCGGGAAGCTGGACTTTCTTTTCGGGCAATTGCAGTTAGAGTGCAAAGAAGTGTAGACACTGTGGTTAGGTGTTGTCAGGCATGGCTTCGAGAAGGCCGTACGCAAAGAGCAAGGGGCACTGGACGCCGCCGTAGAACAACAGACCGTGAAGATCGCCGCCTAAGATTATTGGCCTTAAGGGACCATTTCTCCACTACTATGTCCATTGCAAATGAATGGTTTGCAGAACACGGAAGACCTATTGGCATGCGAAGTGTTTACCGACGAATGAAAAGTTTTGGCTTGTTTTCATACCGGCCACACTGGGTCCTCCCTTTAACTCGAGAACACCGACGTAATCGCCTTGAGTGGTGCAGACAACGGTCACTCTGGGATCAGGAATGGAACAGTATTGTCTTTAGTGACGAGTCTCGATTTTGTTTAGGCATGCACGATGGTCGTGCCAGGGTTAGAAGGCGACGTGGTGAAAGGAGGAATCCACAGTTTTTTGTTGAAAGACATGTTCATCACACTGTTGGAGTTATGGTTTGGGGTGCTATAGCTTATGGTTCCATGTCACCTTTAATCTTCATCAGAGGTAACATGAACGCGCAGCGTTATATCCAGGAAGTTCTAGAACCCCATCTTTTACCCTATCTTGACACCCTGGCAGATCCAACTTTCCAACAAGATAATGCCCGACCACATGTTGCAAGAGTCACAATAGACTTCTTTCAACATAATGATGTCACATTGAAATTCTTATCATTTACTTATTATGCTTCATTAAGTACTTATACAAAATTTTATTAAAATAAAACCATTTAAACTGGGTGTTCGGATTTATATGTCACTTAGTATAGATAATCAAACACCAACTTAAAAGTCAACACTTTTAGATAATAACCGCCAAGTCGTATGAGAAGCGACTTTATTTTTATGTTACTGAAATCCGTCATGCTTAATTATCAATTTTTCTGACGATAAGATATCCTTTCCAAGTACCACGCTACAACTCATGGCCTCAACTTCTAGGTACGCAATCGGCAACGCTGAACGACCTCTCCTGCACGGGCCAATCGGGTGGTTGGACACGTTGGCTCAAGACACCCACCAACCGTACGGCCCCAACAATACCGGAGGGCCAAGCATACGAAGCCGTTACGTCACTGCGCTCTATTTCACTTTCACGTCTCTGACCAGCGTGGGGTTTGGCAACGTTGCACCGAACACGGACGCTGAGAAGATCTTCACGATATGCGTCATGCTGGCTGGATGTAAGTTGGTCAAGTTAATCGAGTGATCTGCGATGTACGAGCTGGTACCCAAAAAAAAGGATTTATTTTTTAAAAGCTATTTATTTTCAACTTTTTCACAGAGTAACCAATGACATCTTACCCAAATAGACCCTGCAAGTCATTCATAAGTCCGCCGGTTGTTATGTTCGCGAACCTCAGTGGCGGGAAATACGAACTTTCATTCATAATTTTATGAAATTGGCCCCAGGCTTGGAGCAGCATAACGCTCAAGGTCAACTACGGAATTCCCACCATAGGCGTATCACAATGTGGGCCTTAAAGGGTTATAAAAGCCAATAAAGTTCTCAGTAAATTGGAGGTACAAAAAACGACTTTCTTGTAGGTATACTATTATTAAGCTGACCGTACGTCCTACTTTCGGACTCTGTCCTACTGTTCCTGACAAAAGCCGGCGATATAAAAATGTCGCTCTTTTCGGTCGTGGCGTCTCCAACAAAAAGTATGAGGATGGAAAATATCCTACTTTTTCCAAACCATACGGAATACGTACAATTTTCGAACGACATTGTTAGCAACTCCCCTTGAATGAAGTGTGTTTACACATTATGCTTTAATTTTATATGATTGTAAACAAAAATAGGAATATACTACAACTATTTAAAACTGTAATGACTCATACGCGTGATCAACACGTGATCAGAGCTCGATCCCGGCTTCCTTCAGTACAGCCGTATAGCGTACGACATATGTCGTTTCTGTGGCTTTGCGGTGGTCAACAGCACAGACAGAGATGGAAATAATGGCTGATTGTTCTCCGCCGGTAGAACCAATGAAATCAAAGACGCGCCTCGACCGGCAGACTCATAGGCGTCGGCAACGCATTGGAACGTGTTTCGTTGAGCGATCGCATATTGTGTGTTTTTATAAGAATTGTTGTGTGATTGTTATTGTTGTGGTTTCTGTGGTTACTGTTTTGGTTATACTTAACCATGGAGAGTACAAATGGCACGAGTGGAAGTACTGAAATCCAGGGAACAAGTAGACGGCTTCGTAAAGCACTGAAGAGGGACGCGAAAGAAATCGTGCTCAACGTGTTCAATTATCTGAACAGAACTATGTCGCAGGGAGATGCACTCGCGCGTTGTGAAAGTATGACAGGCGTTCCAGAGTGGACCATTCGCAGGGTGGTGCATGAAAAGAAGAAAACTGGAGCTACTACTGATCCAAAGTTTAATTTGAATGGACGAAAGGCCGTTAAATTGGATGACGATAGCAAAATGGCGTTAAGGCGAACCGTACATTCATTCTTCTTTAGGAATGAGATACCAACTCTCAAGGCTGTACATGCAGCGATCAAGGAAAATGAAATTATACCTCAAATGAGCGTCGAGGTAATGAGGAAATCCCTGCACGAAATTAATTTTCGTTACGAAACGCGTAATCGGAAGTCAGTATTGATAGAGAGACCTGAAATAGTCGCCTGGCGTCGAAAATACCTACGCGAAATGATTGAATATAGGCGACAAAGCAGAAAAATCTATTATTTGGACGAGACATGAGTAAATGCAGGTCACACAGTTAAAAAAACCTGGATAGACAAAAACGTAGTGAGTAACCGACAAGCAAGCATTGAAGGTTTGTCAACAGGTCTTCGTGGACCGTCAGGGAAAGGTCAAAGATTGATCGTAACTCATATTGGTAGCGATAGTGGCTTTTTAGAAGAGTGTGACTTGATTTTCGTCTCTAAGAAAGGAGGTGATTACCATGGCGAAATGAATGCCAGCTGCTTCGAGAGCTGGTTTCAAGGGGTGCTTCAGCGAGTTGAGCCCAACTCTGTGATCGTCATGGATAATGCTTCCTAGCATAGTCGTCGAGCCGAACGTGTACCGACTATGGGATCTCGAAAAAGTGACATGAGCAATGGTTGCGCGAAAAAGGAATCCCGTTTGACGATTCATGTGTGAAAGCGGAATTGTATGAAAAAATTAAACGGCACAAACCTGCGAACATTAGTTACGTGACTGATGAGATGGCCCGTCAATGTGGTGTCACTGTGCTGCGGTTACCGCCCTACCACTGTGAACTGAACCCAATAGAGCTCATCTGGGCTCAAGTGAAGGGTTATATTGCGCGCCATAACACAACCTCCAAATTACCAGACGTTAAGGTTTTACTTGAGACTTCCATACAGCTAGTAACGCCCGAAGCTTGGCAGAATGCTATCCGTCATGTTGTGAAGGAAGAAACAAAAATGTGGCAGCTTGACCACCACATCGACACCATCATAGAGCCAGTTATAGTCAATTTCAACGAGGAAAGCGATAGCGACAGTTTATTACTGTCAGATGTAAGTGGAAGCGACGATGAATAAAGGTAATTCCCAAATTTTTGACTTACAATATGTTTCAAATCACTCTTTATCAAGCATGTGACAAATCTTGTTCACCCATGTTAAACATTCATACCCCGCCTATGAACAGCCGACTACTGGTAGTTAAGTGATGTTCACGTGAACATCGATGAGTCATTACAGTTATAGATAGTTATAGTATAGTGTGCCTTTTTAGGTAGGTACTATACCCCAACATAGAAGTAATAAAACCCAGTAAATACCTACTTAAAAAAATGTTTATTTGATGGTTTACATGTTTTATACGGAGATCAATCAATGCAAAATAAAATTTTCTTGACATTCTTAATAGAAAATGAGTCAACAAAAAATATACCCACTTTCTCAAGCTTCCCTGCCCTTACCCCGCGCTCTTCAACATTTAATCCGGAGAATTGTTCCTACGAATTGAAATACATGCACATAAACCGAAGTCCTGTACTCCCCCCCCTCTCCCCGCTCTTCAGCGTGGTTCCCGAATATTGTCCTGGCATCACCATTGATATATATAAAGCAAAATCCCCTACCCTACCCCCGCTCCCTAAGGTCAAAAGTAACTTATGTGCTATTCCAGACTATAATCTATCTCTGAACCAAATTTCATCCATATCCGTTCAGCCATTTTGGCGTAACTGAGTAACAAACACACATCCGTTTGTACGCATTTACACTATTATGATTAGTAGGATACGTTCCATCTGCTCCATATAAGGATTTTACCATGAAATAATCTCAGTTAGCCGTGGCGGAAATCGAACGAACAGCTGAGGGCGTCAGGTTGACAGTTCGCCGCATCATGGCCAACTGATATTTGAGCAGTTTTGGCTGTCACTCTTGAAATAGATATTTCGAAGTTCGTTCCCGGGATAAAATGTAACCTATGTTCTATTCCAGGCTATAATCTATCTGTATGTCAAGTTTTATTCAGATCCATCCGTTCATCCATTCTGGCGTGATTGAGGAACAAACATACATCCATCCATCCATACTTTCGCATTTATGATATTAGTAGGATATATATATATATATATATATATATATATATACAGGGTGTCCCCAAAGTTGGGGTTTTCCTTTACACGACGTGTAGATCTTGAAAACATAAGCAATTTTTCTTAGTCACCAATGTCTTAAGGGAACCGAGATAAAGGGCTCTGCATCATCAAAAATATCTGAATACCGTCCTGTAGCCGCGACTCGCGATATCCCGAGTGGTACTAGGACACTAGCTCAACCCGACGACAGAACTGGGTCGGGGTCAGTGTGTCAGGTCAGTATGCAACCTTCAACCGACGGTTACGGTCACGCGTGTAGAGGTAAACGAACCCGTATAATCGATTGCGTTTCAAAAAACAACAAGCAGAGACGTGGCTAGAGAAGTGTAAGTATCAAAAACTAAAGTGTGGCAAACGCTGCGTGAAGAGGGGCTGTATCCGTTTCACGTCCAACGTGTACAAGCCCTTCAACCTGACGATTTTCCAGCAAGAGTGCGGTTTTGTGAGTGGTTGTTGCATCAACATGACAATAATCCGGACTTTTTGAAGTGCATATTGGTGACAGACGAATCTACGTTCACGCATATTGGGGTGAATAACTTTCGCAACACTCATGTTTGGTCAGTAGAATATCCGCACGCTGTCCGTCGGGCACATTTTCAACAAACATTTTCGGTGAATGTTTGGGCTGGCATGGTGAACGGTATGCTCATTGGACCATTTATTCTCCCAAGTCGATTGGACGGGATGCAATACCTAGACTTTTTACGCAACATTTTGCCTTCCTTGTTAGAAGATGTGCCATTAAGTGTAAGACAATCAATGTGGTTTCTGCGTCTGCTCGGTAGCGCATCAGCTGATTTCATTTTCTGTTGGAGCGGTATGATTTCGGGCAGAGACGTACTTAGCCCTTCTCGTCAACTGGAGAGTGAGTACTTTTTCCTTTATTTTTTTTTACTTGGCCGCCCTCGTTTCACTACACATTACCTTTGTTATTTCAAGGGTAGTTGTTTCTGAAAAGAAAACCCCAACTTTGCGGATATATATATATATATATATAAGTTACACAGAGTCCATGCAATGGGTAATTAACTATAAATATACAAGACCACAGAAAACAACTTGTGAGTAGTAGTACAATTTCAACTTACAAAAGTTGTTGACAGAAAACAGGAAGCAATAGCATGTTCCCTAAATGTAAAATATGAACATCTATGAAACATTGTAAAAAGTTCTCAATCCATTGATGTCGGCTGGTCGGAGTCCAGATCACCGAGGACCTGAACTGGCACGAACACGTCTCGTCAATAGCTGCAGCTGCTAGAAAAAAGCTAGGCTATTTGTTTAGGGCTAAGAAGTATTTTTCTCCGCAACGTGTCAGAAAATTGAGTAGTGTTCTGTGTTGCTGTTTTACTTACTTCCCGTAAAACTACGAACGGCAACGTCACTGCTTTAAAAGAGAAAATCGATAGGAGGAAAAGCTCGTACTGATTCCATTATAATTCAATATATGCCAGATTCCGATACTCGTTTCTAATAAAATATTGGACAATGGGAACGTGATTTGAATGATTTGATTGATATCGAAGAATAGTCGCCGCTGGTTCGTTTTTCGCTCGGCATTTCTAAGATAGTTTATAGCAGATTTTCGGATAAAACGGAAATACATACTTAGACTCATAATGCTTTTATTGAAAAAAGTAAATGCGTGTGTTAAGTGAGTATATACCTATCTAAAGTTGCGTAAAATATAAAAATGTGGATACAAACATACATATTTACGAGTATACAGGGTGTCCCGAAAAATGTGTGCAATATTCTACCAGCGGTTTCTAGAGCTTAAAATAGGAAGTAAAGTTTATATAAACATAGGTCGAAACACGTCCCTTAAGCGCGCTACGGTCTTTTAAAGGGGCTCTCCTGAAGATAGTTTTTCCTTAATATTTCCGAAACGTGTTGAGATAAAGACATAAAATTTGTTATTCTAGCCTAGTTTTTTATGCTGGATTTAAAAATATTAACAGTTTTAGACAGTTTTATGTTTGGAAGCGTATGTAACAGGGACGGACTCAGGTTATTTGAGCCCCAAAATTTTTGTGTGATTCTATTTTTCAAATTCATTTTTAGAATTCGAAAATTTATTGTTTTCTACATAGAAAAGGTACTTTTATTGAATATCGATAAATTGTGCCATTTTTGAATAAAATCAAACTAAAAAATTTGTCACATGATGGGAAATGTACTGCGAATTTAAATGAATTGTTGATTATACATAGTTAGCCATACTTCGTACATCAAAATGCGGCTGACGAAATTCTTCATATTGTGATAGAATCTGTTTTTCTTATATACATACGAATTTTCAATATTTAGAAGGTTTTAAATTCGTTAACTCGCTGTGTAAATACGTTGGAAGAAGGGTAGAAGATTTCTTTCATACAAAAAACTATATGATTTTTTTTCTCGGCGATGATTGAGAGGTACTCACAAACTAAGGGTGTGCGTACTTGTTCCGAGTGAAGATTGCACTTAAAAACGTACTGTGATTTGAATACTATGTTAAATATTCGAAAATCCGTAAATTTTGGAGGAAAATACGTGAACTGCAAACGTTGGGCTTTTAAAAGACAATCAAGTGGTGAAATAAAAAGGACAATTCAGACCAAAGCTTAAAATATATATCTTCTAAAATTTTTAATTGCAAACATTTTTTTTGACGAAAATAAGTCAATCTTCTTCGATCTTAGCTTAGGAAGTACAGTAGCGTTTCCTCAAAAATCATGAAGTTACAGTGGCTTAGAGTTGACGGCTTATACAACTACTATACGGCTTTATTGGTGCATAGAATTGGTAAACCCGGCTATTTGCTCTGTAAGTTGATTCCTCGTGGAAACCAAATTACTCTAAATCTGCGGCACAATGATCTACTTTCCATTCCTATACATCGTACGTCGGCCTTTGAAAGGTCCCTTACTTATAATGCGGTCAAGGTATAGGTACAATTCTTTACCAGCTATCTCTAAGAGCTTAAGTTTGCAGCGCTCAAGGAGGAGTCAAGTTGCACTTTCTGGACTGATAAATTCATTTTGTTGAACGATATTTTGTTCTTTTGTTTCTTTTCTTTTTATATGTTCATATTATGTATTTACTCCTTTCAATGCATTCCTTACAGCTACTGATTCATGTTGTTATGCTAATGTTTTGTGATGTCTGGTTGTAGTATGGATGAGTGGTGGAGTAAGTCATAATTGTTATTATTATTATTATTATTATCTGCCACTTTTATCGACATGTCTGTTTGCTCGGTTTTCGAGTACATCAATGCTTTGCGATGCTAGAAATGTACCGGATTTAACCACACAGCTAAATACTGCACAAAATCAGGAAGATGTATTACTTGTGGATTAGAAGGACATTCAACAGAAAACTGCAGTACCAGTGAAATGTACAAATGCTGTCCAAATTGTAAAAGTGCAAACCAGGATTTTAATCTAGGATTACCTATTAATCATGGACCATTTGACAAAAATTGTGGAGTATATAAAAGGAAAATTGAACGTGAGAGGGAAAAAATTAGTTATGCAAATGAATAGCAACTACTAAGATCAGATTTGCAAGACGTGGCTAAATCTGTAAGTGATGAATATAACTCAATATACCATTTAAACATACAAGGAGTCTTGAATAATATAGATGAAGTTCAACAGTTTTCAAGATGGAGAAAACCACTTGTATTATGTTTTACCGAAACACATGCTACAGAAAACATCACTGATGGTGAATTACAAATTACTAATTATAAAACGTACAGATGCAACTCCAACTCAAGACATACTGGAGGTGTAGTGATTTATGTTCCCCCAAAATACAGATCACATTATTCGATTATACCACTTTAGACTATGTATACTGGTATGCACATATACAGTTCAAATTATTTGGGAAACGTTATGATCTTTGTACTTTTTACCGTTCACCAAACAGTGATGCGGATACATTTTTAACGTTTTTTGAAGAAAAATGCGAAGAAATGTGGAATTTTAGAAACAATATAATACTTTTAGGTGATTTTAATTTAAATTATTATGGTAAAAGCATGAAAACAAGAAAATTGAAAGATACCATAAACAACTATGTGTTCAAGCAAAAAATTGAAGAGAGTACCAGAATAACATCATTATCAGAGACTTTGTTAGATCTTGTTATTGTAAATTTCGAATATGCACGGATTAAAGCTGTACATACACCTGAAGTTAGCGATCACAGTTGGACAATGCTGCCCTTGGTAGGGCATTTGTCTGATACAAAAATTAAGAAAATCGTAAATACTATTAAGTACGAAAAACTTGAACGAGAACTTGCTGGCTGCTATTGGAATTTTGGTGAGAATATGGAAAAAATATATGACAACATAATAGGAAATATAAAAACTTGTTTAGATCTTGCAATTGATAAAAAAGTGATTTGCTCGACAAAAAATACACCCTGGTATAACAAGAATATTAAGGCAGCTCAAAATTTGAGAGACAAACAATACAATACATGTATATTCACAAAATCAAATGATGATTGGGAGGTATATAAAACTCTTAGGAATAAATGTGTATATGTAATTAGAGAAGAAAAAAAGAAATTCTACGATAAACAAATCGATAATAACAAGTGCGACAGTGTAAAGATGTGGAATACTTTAAAAAGACTGATCAATTCGAAGCCGCATGATTGTGTAAATCAAGTTCAATTCGAAAACGGTACCGAAACAAATTCTTTGGTGATTGCAAACAAACTAAATGAATATTTTGTGGAAAGTATTGTTTATATTGTGGGTACTGCCAATGCTGCACCTGACTATATGAAAATCAGTTTCCAGGGGGAAATGTTGCATACACTTTCAAAATTTCACAGCATATCGTTGAATTATCTAAGAAAAAAAGTAAACAGTTTAAAATCAAATAACAACTGTGACGAAATCACTACTAAAAACGTGCTGAAAAACTGTTTCGAAATTTTGGGATATCCTGTATTAAATTGGATCAATTGTTCACTGAGAAGCAGTTCTTTTCCTGAAAATTTGAAATGCTCTACAATAACACCAGTTCCCAAAATAAAAAATTCTAAAAGATGCAGCGATATGAGACCAGTAAATGTGTTACCAGACATTGAAAAATTATTAGAGTCCATAGTGCATGACCAATTAATGCAGTTTATAGAAGAAAACAAAATTTTAGTGGAGGCGCAAGCAGGCTTTCGAAAAAAATATTCCACAGAAACAGCTTTCCATTTGGTAACTGAGAATTGGAGAAGAGCCATAGACTCAGAAGAAGTTGTCATAGCAGTATTTTTGGATTTGAAGAGGGCATTTGAAACGATTGATAGAGATATTTTGTTAGGTAAATTGAAGGTATATGGTATAACAGGAAGTGTTTTAGATTGGTTTAGAAATTATTTTTCTAAAAGGATGCAAGTTACAAAAGTTAATGACACTATTTCATCAAAAATTGAAAATACGTTGGGTATTCCACAGGGCACTATCCTGGGACCACTTCTTTTTATTTTATACATAAATGATTTACCTGCCATAGTCAAAAAATGCAAAATTCAGATTTTCGCCGATGACACTATGATTTATATAAGTACTAAAAATATTCAGTCTGGTATCTCTTATATAAATGAAGACTTGAAGCTTGTCTCAAAATGGTTAGCATCTAACAGACTAGAATTAAATGCAAGTAAAACGAAAGCCTTGTTAATCGGAAAAAAACAATGTACAAATATTCAACTGAATATTGATGGTGAAGATATTGAATTCGTAGACAATTTTAAATACCTGGGGCTCTCGATTAATTTTTGATATTCATTATGAAAAAGTTATAAATAAGATTAGTAGTAAAGTGGGATATTTATCGAGAGTTTCTGGATTTCTGAGTTCATATAGCAGAAAAATTATCTATAATACCATCATTCTTCCAAATCTCGTGTACTGTTCGACTATTCTATATTTAGCATTTTTGAAAGACTGCAAATTTTACAAAATAAGTGCATGAGAATAATACTAAATAAATATAAATATACTCCAATTAGGCAAATGCTTAACAAATTAAAATGGCTCAATGTAAAAAATTTTATCAAATATCTTGTAATGATATTCATTTATAAAGTAAAAAATAATATATTTCCATCAAGTCTAACTAATTTAACATCATCAAATATCGACCATCATTTACATAATACCAGAAATAAAGATGACTTCCATTTAATGACCAAAAAGTATAACATATGCTACAAATCTGTATTCCATCAAGGCTTGATTGAATATAATAAATTATACTCGGAAATAAAAGACCAGAAAACTTAAAGTAAAATTGAGAAATCACTTGTTAAATCTACAATTATAGGTTGCCCAGCATTTACATCATACACCATATGGCTTGAATTTGTTAGTTCTAAGTTGTTCACAATTATTCTGTTTGTGTAGCCAAATGTGCTAAATAAATCTTTCTACTACAACTACTACTTATTTTCTTAATGATGTCGTCTTTTCATTGCAGCACTGATGTATGCCAGTATATTCGGTAACGTATCGGCGATCATCCAGCGACTGTACTCCGGTACCGCCCGGTACCATACGCAAATGCTGCGTGTCCGGGAGTTCATCCGCTTCCACCAGATCCCGAATCCGCTGCGGCAAAGGTTGGAAGAGTACTTCCAACACGCATGGACCTACACGAACGGCATCGATATGAACTCGGTGTTGAAGGGCTTCCCAGAGTGCCTGCAGGCCGATATTTGTCTGCATCTGAACAGGAACTTGCTGCAGAACTGCAGCGTGTTCGACGGCGCCAGCCCAGGGTGTCTCAGGTATGTTGCTATCGCTATACGCTATTCGTAGACCATTTACGCATCGGCACAACAAAGATGCAGCGCGGCAAAGCGGCAGCCGCCTAAAGTATATTCAGATAAGAGATAGACCGGACATGAACAAGACCACGTGATCATCGAACGCTATAACATTCGGCAGGGATGTATTAAGAGTCACGCAGTACATATTTTAGATAGTAGATGCTGCTTTGCGTAACTTTGTAGTAAATTAGCACAATTCGATGTGTATACGATTGGTGATGGATATAGGATCATGTGGGGGTGGGGTAAGAAATATATAATGATGTAAATATACATAAGGGTTTCAAAATTTTCGCTTCGATTTCCAGCTTCGGATGCCGCCTGATGTTTGGTGAAATACAGTCGAATATAATCTCAAAATGGCGTTTAAATTAGCCTAAATTAAAAATAATCGTATGTCTCTTAAAATTGCTTTTAGAATATTGATTAGTATATTTTTTGATTTCTAGGTAAATATGTAACCAAATTAAAACGTTCAAAACGTAAAAAAATGTGCATGGTTGAACATTGTCAGAAAGTATATTCTTGAATAGGTTTTGCCAAAATGGGTTCAAAAATGTCAATAGTTAATTAAAAAATACAGTAGCTTTATAATTACTTATAACTTACCGAATTTGATGAACGACATCTTTTATTGGAAAGATAAGCTTGATGAGCTTTCATCATCGCTACTGCCTGAAGCACCAACGTCAATAATGAATGGCTCGACTTGTTCCTCTAAAATATTGTCCATTTCCCACATTCTCTTTTCAACTTTGTCTTTCACGTGCTTAATCCAGTTTTCCCATTTTTGCGCTGTTATTAATTCTAGTGCTTCTTTGAAAAGTCCTTTGAGGTCACAAAATTTAAAAGTTGTATTGTGCTTAGCTATATAATTTTTAACCTCTGCCCATATGAGCTCAATGGGATTGACCTCGCAATGGTATGGAGATAAACGGAGCACAGTTTTATTTTGACTTGCTGCCATTTCGGGGGATTATTTAGTCATATTGAGAGAAAGAATATTGAACGTCGTATGATTACTCAGCGCTTCACAATTTAATTTAAAGTTATAAACCTTTAAAAAATGAATGATCAGGAACCTGAAATACGCGCAAATATTAATATTAACAAATTATAACTTTATAAAGCTTAAAGTATGAATTAAAATGATTAGAAATATTAGGAACGGTACACAATATAAAACTTAGTAACTTTTTTTAAGTTTATAATATTCGACATATTTTAAGATTATATTAAAAAATTATTGAAATATCGAAAACACATAAAAACATGGCTTAAAAAAGTTCTAACAAATGAAAATGACAATAAAACAACCACGCATTTTATCGAAAGGTATAAAAGTATTGTTACTTGTAATATGTTTTATCTGCCCCCTGGAATTAATGTTTAGAACCTTGTTCCCAAGGTTTGAAAAACATCCGATTGTTGTCTGTTACTCGTATTTACCTGCTGGATTTTTTAATCCGGTGGACAGTCCATCTAGAAAGGCCCTCCTGGATGAAGTTACAGAATCATCAACCCATACTTTACTTGTAGTGTGTCCTGCGTTTACCCACGTTTCATCAAGGTAATAAATCTTCCTGTTTTGATTTCTATATTTCCCAACTTTTGTTAAATAATCCCTCCTCCATAGCACAATTTCTTTTCTATCCAGTAGTAAACTATTACGACCCCGTTTTTTCCATTTGAAATTTAAATGCTTCAGTAACGCATGGAAAGTTGATCGTTTGAAATTTGGCAACGTTGTATCTCCATTTACCTCCTGCAGTACTTTATCTATAGTAGGTATTTCATTCCTAAAGAAGAATTCATGCACTTTCCTCCTAATCGCATGCTTATCAGCTTCATCCAATGATTTAACAATACTTTTGCGATGTTTACTGGTCATTGGCTCAGAAAAGGTGTGATTTTTTTTTGTATTGTCTTAACACATTAAACACTGATGCGCGACACACCCCAACTTTGTGAGAAACCTTCACAACAATTTCTTTGATGGTTGATGCCTCGTTCTCCTCGCGCTTGATCTTATATATATTCAATTCAATTCAATTCAAAATGACCTCTTTCATTTCTGCACTCAGGTGTCTTCTTTTAGAGCGTTTCCTAGATGGACTACAGGAGTTTACAACTTCATCGGCAGTATCTGTACTACTGGGCATTTTGCGCAAGCAGTTGATAACAATAACAATCAATAACAAGGTATAACAATAACAACGACAAACTCAACAACTTAATAAGATAACAAACGAAAACGTCCAAAGAAATATCAAATTGCAATGATGCACACGACATACGTAACACGTCTGAACCTGAATGTGACTCTGCCTTGATACGACTGCTCTGCCGCTCGGCATAGGCATTTAATTGCGAATTGACCAATGAGGGCTCCTGTTTTACGTCGAGACGGCGGCGTTAGCGTGAAAATCACCCGAACCTTTTGTTTACATCCGGTCTATCTCTTATCTGAATATACTGTAAGCGTTACGATAGCTATTGGTCATTCTACGAACAAGTACAGGATTCGAGAGGATAGGACTCAGGCTCGGGGTATCGCCGGCAGTTGCTGTTGATACGAGGGATATCTCTTAAGTTCTGCATATAGAAACATAATAGGCCGCACGGATCGAACGTCAGTACTGAATCTTAACCTCACTCTTTAGTAAACTTAAATTCCAAGTTTCACAACAATACGTGCAGTGTTCTCACTACAGTGAATTTTTAAGTGTCTCCAAGTCATTAGAAAAATGGATCTCAACCGAGAACAATTTCGCGCCATAAGAGAGACAATTATCGCAACAAGAATGCCTTGCTGAGTTACTGTCTGTTTTCGACAACGAAGCGCCACATCAGTCGACAAATTCCCGTTGGTATGGAGAGTTGAAACGTAGACGGGTGAGTCTTAGCGACGATCCCAGGGTGGGTGCACCAAAAACGGCAGTCACCCAGGAAAACGTCGATAATGTGCGCAAACTCATCATTGAAGATAGACATGTGACATATCGCGAGATTGAGGCATCCTTGAGGATCTCAAAGACCTCAATTGAAAAAATTTTACAGGAAGAATTAGGAGTAAGAAAATCAGTTTCTCGTTGGATACCCCATCTGTTGAAGAGCAGAATACAGCCAGGGTTAATTGGTGTCAAAAAACGCTTGACTATTTCAATTTCGGAAACTCAAAAAATGTGTACAGCATTGTTAGTGGTGATGAACTGTTATGAACCAGAAAATAAACGACAGTCGGCTGTTTGGGTGTTCCAAGGTGAAGAAACGCCAACAAAAGTCATCCGTTCTCGAAGTGTTTCGAAAAAGACGGTCGCGACATTTGTGTCAAATGCGGGTCATATTGCAACAATTCCTCTTAATGATCAAAGAACTGTTACTCAGGATTGGTATACCACCATTTGTTTGCCAAAAGTCATCACCGAGCTTCGAAAAATCAACCCCGAAAGAAGAATCATCCTCCACCAAGACAATGCAAGCTCGCACACAGCCCAAAAAGCAAGGCAGTATTTAACGGAAGAAAACGTGGAACTATTGGACCATCCTCCGTATAGTCCCGATCTAAATCCTAACGATTTCTTTAATTTCCCGAAAATAAAAAACATACTGCGTGGTCAAAGGTTCCAGTCAACAGAATAAGCAGTTGACGCATTCAAAAGTGCCGTTTTGGATCTGCCAGCAAACGATTTCCATATGCAAAACTTAAAAGACATCCCTCGTATTCGGTGTGTTTATGCGTTAGCATGTCATCTACGGATACAGCAGATGAGACCGAGAATATTTCTCCCAATGTTTCCTTCAGCCATGCTTCCTCTCCTCCCCGAAAACGTGACAAGCAGGGACATTTGAATATTTAGGCAAATGAAATTGTCCTTAACGTTTATCAGAGCGCAATTTAGAGCATCCTGAAATGAAAATTCATGATATTATAATTAAAAAAAAAAAACAAAAAGTTGTCTCCACCACACAACAGGCATTACACAAAGCTGTTGATAACTTTGATCGGAATGCCATCAGTTGCAAAGTCCATCAATTTTTTGAAAGGGAGTGTTACAGGAGGTTACCCACTTTCAAAAGAACCACATTCGACTTTTTACTCAAAGAACTTCGTTTTGAGTATAGAACACGGGGCAGAAATAGTATTTTGTTGGACAGCCAAGAGACTATTTTATGGAGAAGGAATTATTTAAAATCAATAAAGAAATACCGCGACCAGGATGAAACCTGGATGAATGCAGGACATATACAGGGTGGCGCATCGAAAACGAAACAGACGCATTTGCTGGCAGCTCAGTTTTTTTTGGAAAAACGCTCAGACCCGTCGATTTTGTTTTCGAGGGGGACACAAGTTTGGCAAAAAATCACACCCTAAGCGGGGGTGACACCACCCCCAAAATCTTAAATGGAAAGGGAGGTTGAGTGATACCTCATTTTAAAGGTCTTTCAATTCCCTTTATAATGATGTAAAATACATGAGCTTCGGTTCAGTAGTTTTGAAGATTTATTGATTTGAAGCTTAAAGTAGACTTTAATAGGTACATCAGATTACTTTGTACTACTTTCAGAAGAAATTTGACTAAAAGAATTTACTTAATAACAAAATGCTTTTCTTCACTACGCCCATGGTTTGTTTATCATTTTGTTGTTGTAAATAGCTATTGGAGCGTTTTTTTGTGGCAAAAGTTATTTCTTGAAGAAAGATAAGGAAATATCTCGTAATTATTTTAAATAGGAATTCAGTACATAGTTTGCGATTGATTTGATCAAACTCTGTTGCTAAAATAACTTGTAACGCTTTGTTACATAAATTAACCATGTTATATTCCACAGCAGAAAGAGTTGAAATTATCGAAATATTTTTCGGAAATAATCAGTGCGCTAGTAGCAGAAATATTTAATGAGTGACGTACATCGAAAATATGTTCTAGAACATGTAGCTAAATTTCGAGAAACTG